AAGAGATTGGCTGCGAACAGCACCCGCCCACACCACACCCAGAGATCGCAAGTTAACCACACTACCCGAACAACGGCGCGCGCGAAGGAACCACCGACAGCTTCGGCCCACAGCCGAATGCCACCGCCTGCCCAAAACGTACCGACAGCGAAGTGCGCAGCCTCATCTCTCCATCCAGAAACGCGGGTGAAGAGAGAAAAGAATGCACCACGCTTCCAACACGCCCGGACGGACGGAAAGCCTCCACCTGTGCACGGGGGCGCAAAAGGAACACAACCCCTCTCCCCGCTGGGCCCACACCCGCCGGTTGCCGCGGGCACCACCAACAGCACTCGACGCAGGCGAAACCCAGGACACAAAGGACAGTAAGCCTTCGAAGCCCACAACCCAAACGCAGCGGAACCACGACGCAACGTGATCCGTCACGGTGTGCAGCATACCGAGACCAGGATGGGGGACACGACGGGCACAAGCGCGCATTCCAAAAAGTCGGGCGGATGACGGGCCCAGCCTCGCGACGCCGTCGGAGGGCGCATCACGCATCCCACAAGTCTTCGCCCTCGCATACGGTAAGCAGCGCGTGGACGGCCGAGGCCACCTGCGCCACCGCTCAATGGCGCCGCTCGGATGGCGAAGAGCGCAGAGCATCCTCACCAAGTCGTGACACCCCCTCAACACAAACGGAACGAGCCGTTGTGAGTGCGGACACGAAGACGACACCACAACAGAGCCGCAACAGCTCTCCCCATAACCTACGGGACGATGGTGCCGAAGCTGAGAGTCGGTGACGGGCACCTCCGCCTCCACACCCTGCAAACRACCGCCAACCGGACCGCCGTCGGCGATCAGGCGCCAATCATCGCAAGACGATGAGCGAGGGTGAACGCAACGATCCACAACCCGGCACCACGGCATAGGAAAGCCCCGACAGCCGCGACCGCCCCCAACGATGACCGAGCTGTCGTGAAAGAAGCCCTCCGAGAGAGACGACCATGGACCCGAACGGCGCCGCAAAAATCTTCTCTCGACCACCAAAGCACGACTCGCCCATCCCTYGCAAACTGGAAACCACCCAAAGCGTGTGCAGAGAGTCCCCCGTAACTCGAGTACAAGGTCCCAAAACCCACGCCCGRAACGTCGCCTTCGTCGACTGCAAGGGGGCTGCTAAGCACGCAGTCCCCTATAAGAGTGCAAACGGGACTCCGAACCGCCAACCACCGACTGTTTGGCACATCCGGAGGGTGCTCACTGACCCTTCCGCCGAGGGACCTGCACATGTCCCTTTCCAGCAAGCTGACTGGACAGACCCCAATGCCGATGTCCCCCTCGGGACCTCATCCCTTTCCGCTC